TTAGCGAGTGGAGTGGCTAGGTACGGGCAGATCAGCCCTTGAATTTCCATTCCCGGTCAGCACACCCTCGGTGTGGTCCTGGAGTGCTTCTCTTGGTTTAGTTCATTCCAAAAGGAGTCCAGGTGGTGCTGCCGCTTCTCTGTGTTGGGAACCAAAGTGCAGTAAGTGGGAAATTCGCTTCAAAAGTGGTCCGAACCATGCCTGTGGATACTGCAAGAATGAATAGCTATGAGAGTTCATTTTAGTGATCTTTTTTTTTCCCTAGGGCTAGGGGTTTTTTCATTTTTCCTGCAGTGTTGCCAGCATCCTTCCTCTGGCATGAAATGAAATTGCCTCTCTCTTTAAACAGCAACCCAGAGTTTTTTGTAGGGGTAGAAAATGAAGCAGCACATTTCTGCTACAGCAGTAGGAGAACCCTCATCTGACCAGTATCCACATGTGTATAATTTCCCATGCCTGTAGGGGGAGAATAAATCCTAAATGGGATGGGTGGTGAAGGGAAATAGCTTTGGCAACCTTGCTCCAAAGAGAGTTGTTCGAATTTGGGATTAAGCTGGCGTATCAGAGATAGGCACCTGGTGCAGTATTTTATGTTATTGCCAGAATGTAGCTAAGTATAGGCACAGGATCAGCATTGCCAAATGAAAGCAAATAGGTTTGTGGAGGAGATAATCCAGGAACTGCTGCATCATTCTCAGCACAGGGATTGAGGGTTGAATGGATTGAGATGGCTAATCACCCCCAGTTAATTCCTCAGGTGTTTTCTGTTCAAGATTGAAATTGCTGTCTGTGCTATCACCATTTTGTGGGCAAATAAAGGATAATCCATTTGGCACCTCCTGGTAGTGTGAACTTCACATAGAATGAATCCATTTGCCAATTTTGAGCAACTCTGCTGCAAAGAAGCTCACCTTCCTCTTTTCAGAAAGATGAGACGACAGCATGTTGGTGAAGATGATGTGGAAGATCTTCCTCTGTATACACATCCATGCCATGAGCTCCAGGCAATGCTTAGATGCTTTAAAATGTCTGACACTCACAATGACATCAGCGTCCAAGGCATTTTCTGTTTCTCTACAAGGCAAAAGCTAATATAGTGAACTTGTTTACTTTGCTTTCTGCAGTGAAAAAAAGCAATAAATGACTTACCCTCATGCTTTTCCAGGAGGAAACAGTGTAGATTGCAACTCAGCACAAATCCGTAACCGATGGAAAAGTCTCATTTGTTCTGGGAGAAATTATCTTTTTAAGGGCAGTGCTGAATCTGGGCTATAATTAAAACAGCTTCTTAAAGAAAAAGAAAAACAACGGATGTTTTTCTCGTTTTATGTATTACCTATCACTAATGACCCTCTTTTCTCATTTCCATTTAAAAAATGGATATAAGCAATTAGGTGTATATTGCACAAAAGTAGCATTACCTGAAAAAAATAATTAAGATGATCTTGAAATTAAGGAAATCAGTTTTGAAGAGAAGCAGGTGCTTAATGGAGGTGAGACCAGCTGTGCTTCCCAGGAACGTGCTTGAAGTGCTTCATGGAAAAATGTGCAAGGCCTCCACACAACACTGGAAGGAAATTTATAATAATTCAGACAAACTGCATCCTATAAATAGCAGAGCTGGATTCATTAGGACGGGAGGCAGATGGAGAAAATATAAAACTTGTTTGTTTCTTTTTAAAGGACTATAATGCTTATGAAAAGTGTCAGCTTGCTGTCAACGAGGGAAAAACCCTCCGGTGCAGCAGTAACTTTCTTGCTATTAGGTTCTTGTCTCTGCTAATGAGCAGCCATCCATGAGGGGCATTCATAATACTTTGTTTTAGCAACTCCTGCCTGCCTTTTTCTGGCATAGCCAGGCTGACACAGAAGTGCTGCAGTGCTGGAAGCACGCAGCAGTTGAGGGGAGCGGGGGGAAGACATGAGGGAGGACAGAGTTTCATGTACAGTGCGTAGCACTTGATAACTCTGTTTAAAACAGATGCTAGTGGGGCAGAGGCATAAATGTCATTGGAAAGTGGGGATGTGTGGAGTGAGGTGAGAATCATCGACCAAACTGGCTAAGGGGTTATGCCCCAAAGCAGAAATGTACTGGTAATTGGTAGAGGAAATGCTGTGAATTACTGAAGAGAGAAGGTGAAGACATTTTTGAGATGCTTTTACATTAGTAAGCAGGAAAAAGGAGAGGCTTTCATGCATGAAGAGAAGTAATGACAGAAAGCGGGTGGGAGGTGTGTGACTGGAATGCAGCTCTGTCCGCAGGAGGTAAGCAGAGGTGAGAGGGTTGTTGCATCTTAGTATTCATACACAGTGAGGTGCTGCAAAGAAGGAAGGGTGTCCAGCCAAAAAGGAACGTAGAGACTGACAGAAAGGGCACATTATAGACTGCGCTTAAATAACAGGAGAGGGTGAATGTGTGGGGCTGTTTCCAAGTATGCCAAAATTATAACTAGCCACTTTAAAACAAAGCCGTCAGAGGAGGCTGGCTGAAAAATTGCATACTATTCAACCACAGGCAAGTCTGAGCTCTCTTACAGAAGCGGTAAATGTTCTGTATGAATATTATCTGTTAATGAACCTGCCTTCATCTCTTTTGCTGATCTGATTTACATTTCGGCAAAGCTTCCGTAAAAGATAACAGTGTCAAAATTCCAGTAAGCTATCCCAAGAGATTTTTAAAGTATTAGTGTTCAGGAAAGGAATACTGCACGCTTATCAGGCAGCGGTGTTTTTTTTGAGGAGTTCTTAGATTGCCAATTCACCTTGTGAAGTGGCAGAGGAAAAAGGTGATATGAAGGTCGTATTGGAGTCAGATAATCACAAACTTATTTGAGGAATGGAGGAAAGCTGTACAACTGTTCATGCTTCATGTATTAAGTAACTACGTTTTTTCTCAGCATTCAATATAGAGGGCAGTGATCCCAACGCAAGGAGAGGACATTGGAGAAGAGGAAAGTAAGTGGTATGGATTGGCAGGATGCCGTTGGGGATTGCCATCTGTTGCGGCTTGCACATACCTGTAGGGTGTCATGTAGCAAGCAAGTGGTGGCATTAAAACCAGTCACAGACATGGAGCAGGTTAACTACCAGTCATTTGAGAAGAATGCAAGCGTGCTGGGATGCGTGTGAGAAGCTGAGCAGGGAAAGCATGAGCCAGCACATGGGAGCTCATGGATCCTCGTGCATCGGTCAGATTTTTGGTATGGAGCAAAGAAACCCTTGGCTGATGAAGCGTGTTTTCTTGCTTTCAATGGGATAAGTAAGCCCTGTGTATCTAGGGGGTTAGCATGGCCTGTGTTTATGGCTAGTGTTATACAAGGTTTAAAGTATTGAGTGCTGAGATCTTGACTCACATAGTCCCACAGCAATAACCAGTATGAAAAATACGGAGAAACAGTTAGATTTGAAATATAAGGCTTTAATTTCAGAAAGCCTTTAGCAACAGAGAATTTTAAAAAATTAATAGGATATCCCCTTGATAGGATAGCATTGTTTAGTTTTCTTGCTTCTAGGTTTGATCTGAGATGTCTGAAATACGATAATCTGTGATATGTGCTGAAAAATATGTATATGAGAGATGGGTGATTTTGAAGAGAAAGTACTGGAGAGAGGGAGTGATTTGTGTTTGTAGGTTTCCTGTCTTGCTAGTGGAAAACCTGCTTTGAATTATGCTACACTTCTAGGACAGCATCTTGTTATCTGAAAAACATTCTTTTCATGCGTACAAATAAAAAAAAAAAATCTTCTCCTCAAAACAAGCTTCAAATTTCCTCTTTGCCCAAGCTTATTCACACCTTTATGCTTTCTTTCATGTCACGTTTTTTCCAAAAATCCTTCCCTAGGTATTTAACTGTATTTATTGCAAACACCCCAAAAGCTACCAATCCAAAAATATCTTCCAGCTACAGTGACTGCAGATGAGTCTATGTTGACCACAGGTTGCTTGTGTCTTCCTGCACTCACCAAAACACTTCAGGGGATTTAGTTTTTTGTTCACATAATCTGAACAGCACCATGATCTTTGAGATGGTGTTTGTCTGGCAAGTCCTTTAACTGGATGCTTGCATACTCTTCCCTCATCGATGCAGTGTGTCGTGCCATACTTAGTGAAGAGAGATAGGTAAAAATGGCTTTAAAATATGCAACAACTTGGAATGATGAAGTTCTTGCCTAAGATCCCCTTTTTAATATGGGTAGATGGATAAATCCTAATACTTTGGATGAAGAAGTCAAGACACAGATGCTACTGTCAGTTACTCAGCATCACAAAAGGAAATCTGTGGCAGAGCTGGGCATAGTTCTCATTCCTGTCGTGCTTGAACGGCAAAACTGATCCAGTGACTCTGGGGATATTTAGTTAACGTGTGTATCTGTCGCAGTCTCCCAGTGTGGTACGGTGCTGGTGTATTTCTCTACCTAATATTTGAACTGGAGACAGCATTTCTTCCTGCCCCTGCCAGTTGGGGATTCTAGTCACTTTGACATCTTGCATCTTTCTTTTGTCACCTAGGTGTGAGAAGGGGGTGGCTGATACGATTGTGTAGCTTGCTCTCTTTGGCCCTGTTGTTTGTGTCTGTAAAGGTACTGAGATAGATTTGAATGAAAACAGGAGTGCAAGGTAAATTTGTAACCCAATCTAGAGATGCAAAGTAAGAATTGTTGCAGACAAAAAATGTCTCTTGTCACCTTGTTATTACACACATATACTCAGCCTGCTAGGCAGTATATAGCATAGCACAGATTTCAGAAAGAATTGTCAACCTTAAGACAAGCAAAGGAACCTTCAGCCCAGGTGAATGTCCTGTGCATGAGTTCCTGTGTGCACCATTTTCAGCAGCTGTGGATAAAATGTCCTGGACATGGCAGAAGCCCTTCCTTCTGTGGTGTCGCTTTCTCTTGGCTGTTCTCATATGTGATTAAATAAAGGTATGTTATGTGTTTATTCTTACACTGCCTTCTCTACTTCTCTGGCTTTTGTTTTCCTCTTCCCTCACCTGCAGGCTTTGAATTACTGTACCAGCCAGATGTGGTCCGACTGTACCTCTCCATCCTCACCGAAAGTCAGAACTTCAACACTCTGGAAGCTGCAGCAGGGGCTTTGCAGAATCTCAGTGCTGGCAACTGGACGGTGAGTGCAGTCTTCTGTTTAGTCTCTTTTGTTTCCTTTGTGTAAGTAAACAAAGCTATGTCCCGTTATAAGTTTGCTGTTATTTTGTGCATTTACATTTCCTTTAAAAAGGAAGGAGGTGGGAACTCCAAATCAATTATTTCCATCTTATTTGCCCACTTAAGATGTTTTGCGTCTTCCAGACAGATGGTGTTTATGTAGTGGAAGTGTCCCTGCGCTCGTGACTATTTAACCATGAGCAGGTTTTACTACTTAAACCACTTAACCATTGCTTCATCCGTTCAGAAAAGCCTGTTGTTAAATAATTAAGTGTCCCGAATACTTAATTCATTGGATTGTCAGATTGCTCAAGAAACTGCACTCCAAAGTGTCCTCTGGTATCAAAGCATCCCCAGCACTAATCAGGCAGTTCTCTCAAAGGTATGCCTGATCACTTCTAGGACCACATGGCAAAGTGGGACTGATCAGCAGCCTGAGGATCAGCAGGGTGGTGTTTCACAGCTGTCTTGAATATAGTTTATTTTAAAATCAATCATGAAACAGAATAAAAGCATGAAATTGGAGGTGGGGGAAGATAACAGATGCTTTGGATGCTTTGCTGTTCCCTCCAAATGACCTCTTTTTTCCTAATCCAGAGGGATGTGTGTTCACACTGAGGTGTGTACAGAACAGATGCTGGCAGATGATGCTCCTTCCTTCTGTCCTCTTTCCCCAGCAGCTTGCTAAGCTGTAGGATGAACTTCTACATCCTTTCTTCCTTGGTGCTTGATGAACTTTAATGATGGGTTAAGTTACAAATGCATCAGCACACAAAACCTAACTAGTCTTTGCAGGAAAAAAAATGAATTACAGCACTGAAAGAAATGCCAGGGGCAAGGAAAGGGCAGGTATATGAACTCACGATACTTTGTGTTGTTTCTTTTCCCTTGTGTGTTCTGATCAGTGGTCCACGTACATCCGTGCAACAGTGCGGAAGGAGAGAGGCTTACCAGTACTTGTGGAGCTGCTCCAGTCCGACTCCGACAAGGTTGTGAGGGCTGTGTCAATTGCCCTGAGAAACCTTTCCATGGATCGTCGCAATAAAGATCTTATAGGTATCTTCTGAACTTTTCTAACCAGACTAGGATCTTGGATACCCTCGAGAGACCTCGCATTTTCTGTCATTTGTGCTGAGGATTCGTTTTGTATGCAGTTTCCATCCGCGCTATCTAAGATTACTCTGTAGCCGCCGAGTGGAGGGCTGTCATCTCAGAGTGTATTTCCAGCCCGTTCTATCAAGCCATGGTTTGAGGGGAAATCTCTAACTCGAGAGTAAAAACAGATGTAGATTTTTGCAGGAGAGGGGAGTGTGTGCAGAGGAGTGGGTGAGTTAAGAGGTTTCTTGTCTCTTCCTTAGCTCTGGTTGGCATGGCACTTGTGCTCCTAATGGCACACGGTGGTTACAGAGACGTTGCTCCTTAGGCCTGCTATTTAGATTGGGAATCTTGCCCTTGGCATGCTGAGCTAACCTGGGGAAGCGCAGTGGGCTCTAAAGTTGTCCCTTTTTTCTCGCTTCCTCCTTCCCTTCTCATTCTTTTGCGTGGTAGTTGCTTGTAGAAGCTGGACGCCAAACAACTTACTCTTCTTCAAGTTAGTTCTTCAGCAGCGCTCACTAGCTCCTATCCAAGGGGATAAATAAGCATTCACCTGCCCATAAGCAGGAATCTGAAAGGTTCAGCTGTGAGTTGAGTTTTCCTCTGGATGCCTCTGTATTTAACTGATGCATTTGTTTAAACTATAACCTTGTCAGGCCAGGAAATGTTGGTCACATGTTTAGGGCCATCATCCAAGTTGATACTAACAAATAGCAAGGTGGGATTCTGCCTTCAGGTTCTTTTTTTAATAGTTCAGAGGTGTAGCTAGGCAAATGGTACAGACGGACACCTGGGAGTGATAAACTCCGACTCCTTGTTTTTTCTCCAGTACTATATACTGAGAAGGCTAACTGCACCCGGGAGGAAATACTCTTACCTTTGCTGGGGGAAGGTTAATAAATGCATGGCTGCACACCTTGCCCCAGAAGACCTATTACAAGGCTAAGTTGAGTAAGCCAAGTGCGTGTATTAGCATGAATATGTGGCATTAGCAGCCGCTACTGGATGCTTTTTGCCTCAGGCATTGCAAAGTATGATAGATGCTGGCTGTAAAATTCTCAATAAAGATTGCTTTTTTTTTCCCCTCAATACATTTTAGCGTTCATGATGAAGGAGTTTGTCTTGGGTATCAACTCTCAATCACCTTGAAATAATGAATGATAACTGTTAGGTTGCAGTCTTGAGGTTCAAAACATGTGCATTATAAAGTTTTTTGACCTGGCAAACACCCTTGAGTTTTATCATTCAGGATGGGAAGCTGAAATGCTCATTAGCGCTGACTAATGGTATCTCTTCCCCGTATCTAGGTAGTTATGCCATGGGTGAGCTGGTAAGAAATTTGCCCAGCAGGCAACAGAGATCTGCAAAGAACCTGGAAGAGGATACAGTGGTTGCGGTGTTGAATACTATCCATGAAATCATTACTGACAGCTCAGAAAATGCAAGGTCTCTGATCCAGACACAGGGCATTCAGAAGCTGGTAGCTATCAGCAAGTCAAGGTAAGTGACAGTTGAAAGCAAAATGCATAAGAACTCACTGCAAACATGAAAATGTCACTGTGAACAGCAGCTTTTGCTTTGTGAGAGTATTCAAGCATCCTAATCTTTCAGAGCCTTTAATTTCAGAGCAATTAATATATGCTCAGTAAAAACAGTCAGCACCTTTAATAGGTTTACTTGATTAAAAAAAAAAGTTAATTGAGTAGTCACTTCAGTCATGTTAAGACATGCTCTCTCCTCGTCAGATACATTTTAGCACCATGTATGCATTTAGCAGACATCATTTGCAGTGAAACCATGATCTTTATTTTTAGCGTGGGAGGCCTTTTTCCTGTGGCAGTGTTCCATTCCTGGAATGCCAGTGATGAAATCTGTTCCTGTTAAGTAAAATGGTTAATGATGTGCAGTAATCATTCTGGCCGAAGGGCTGGTGGTGGTAATTTGAAGAGACAAATTTTCACTCTGCAGTTCTGTTGAAAACTGTGTTCTGACTGCTTTAGAGAAAAGTTTGTTTCGTATAGTTCAGCCAGGTAGACATAGTAGGTGTATTTTCAGCAAACTTTTGGGAGAGTAGCTGAAGACTTTGTTGGGTTGCATTGTTACGAAATACGAGAGACAACCAAGAATCTAGCCCTGTGTTATTTTATAGAGGGTACTGACTTAGTAAGGAATGGGTAAAATTTCATTTTCTGTTTAAAAAAAGCTTATTTTTTGCTGACCCAAATTGCTTTGTTAAGGTGTTCTAAACCATGAAGCAACTTCATTGAATTGTGAGGAATAGATGTAAGTTGGGGTGAAGGTTTGACAAGTGGCTTAGAACTTGTTTTGTTGGGTTTTTTCCTAAATAAATCCAGGCAGGATGGAATCCATCTGTTTTTTTTTAATGACAGCTACAAGACAAAAGGGTCACCCTTGCCTCAGTGCTTGCCGAGCAATACACGTGAAAACCCAGAAATCTGCACAATTTACAACTTTTGTTTGGAATTTTTTTTTTTTTTGTCAGCAAATACCTATAGGTATGAAGAAGTCACTGAATGATTTCACATATATCCTATAGCTTATAGGTTCAAAGAATAGCTGTATGGAGTACTAGGTTATCTCCTGGATATATTGTTTTTGGTGCAAAGAGGTCAGGATACAAATAGTCTTATATTGCTTGATACTTAAGCTCTAACTTTATCTTGCAAATCAGCCAGTCTCCCAGAGAAACAAAAGCAGCATCTCACGTTCTTCAGATGATCTGGAGCTATAAAGAACTACGAAATGCCCTGCAGAAGGATGGGTGGAACAAATCACACTTCCAGGTAAAGATGCTGGGTCTTAGATGCAGTTATGGAAATGCCTAAGTGGAAGATGTCCTAACTTAGTCTAATATTACCGTCTGTGGGCTTTGGTTCTGTTCTTCTAGGTGATAGAACAATGTATTGTAATCTATTCAGTCACAGCGTCATGCATATACTTGCTGGGTATGTTTTTCAGTGGTCTGTGAAATGTATCTTTTTAGGTTTTGGAAGTATGCCACCTGGTATAGGCCAAATGCTCATGTTTTACTGGAGGAAGAATTAGCATGTCTCTTCTTAGTTGTCTTTCATTTGAAACATTCCATCTAGCAGTGTAGGGCAGCCACCTGTTCTTGACATGCAGCCTCCTCATCTTTCCTTGTGAAAAGGTTTTGCTCCTTTTACAGACCAACAATGCTGCCATTTAGATAATAGGAAAAAAAAATTCACCAACAAATCTATAGGAAAATAAAAATACTCCAGTGCCAAATTATCAGCAGAAGGGCGGCTTAGCAGCATTCCATAATCTCTCTCCATACTGTTGGTTTGTTTATTTTTCTTGTCCAATTTCCCTGAGTAGCAATTTCATATTTATGTGATTTTTGTCTCGTAGTCTGTTTCTGCAACTCCGAAGGGTTCCAAAGGTACTGCTGGCAGGTCAGGCTATGACGACAGCACTTTGCCTCTGGTGGATAAAAGTCAAGGTCAGTTCTGCTCTTTATTGCTTTTTCTATTGTGCTTTACTTGCTTGTTTTCTGGATTTGCCACATCTGTGTTATGGCGTGAGGGGGTAAAAATGTATTATTTGTGTGGTGATTTTTTACCCCACAGTCCCAAAATGATCAGTCCTGTTAGTTCGATATGGATAGTATTCCTTCCCTTGTGAAATGTGTGCCACTGATGTTATTTTCTCAACTTGCACGCAACATAATCAGTTAAATCTTCCTGGGAGAATTTGGGATAGACGTGAGTTGGAACTTCAAAAGAGGAGAACAGCCTCGTTCCACAGTGTTATATATTAATAAATCTAGCCTTCAGCCAGGCAGGGGGCTTGGCCTTACCCCTCAGCAGTACTGGAGTCTTTTTCTTTCTAAATAAACGTGCCTGTTTGGGCCGTGCTGCTTCCTCTACTGGGCAGTTTTTTCATTGGAGGTGGTTTATCCAGACGCTAGCTAAACCTGTCTCTGCTTTTTCAGGGGGCCCGATGCAGCCGTACCGACACTGGTGTAGCTCCAGCTTTAATTTCATTATGATTGCTTTGTCTCTGGATCTGGTTCTAGTTTCTAACGCTCAGATGTCAAAATTTCTTTTCAGAGATGTTTAGTCTCCTACAGCAGAGTTTGCCATGTTGCTCTTTACCTGGTTTAACTGCAGATTACTGCGGAAAGACAGCCCTACGCTGCCCTGCCTGTTCCCACCTTCCCTGTCTTTGATCAAATCTGGCAGATTATGCAGACAAAGGATGACTTGGGTCAGTTTGCTGATCTGACAATAAACTTCTTGTTTTCTTTGTGGGTTAGCTTTCTGTTGGCTCAGCAGGCTGCTAGGTTGGATTGTGTGCCATGTGAAGCTGCACCCTTACTTATTTTCTTTCTCTTCTATTCCGGAGAGACCAGAGAGAAGCTTGTTAATAGTGGTAGGTAGTCCGAAGCAGAATTGCGGTTTCTGTTGTCACTTGGAGAGGAAGAGTTCTATATTACAGTGCCAAAGCAAGAAGTGTAAGGATTACCTGTGCTCTCTGGAGAGCTTAAATCAAACTTCCCTTTCTGAATGGAAAACAGTTAAATAGTTTGGGGTTTCTGTTGGTTTTGTTGGTTTTTTTTTTTTTTTTTTTTTTTTACAATAGTGTCTGCGTTCAGTACTTTATGGACCTCTCTGGTCCTGTGACTAATTTAAAAATACCAGGTGTTGAGAAAAGCAAATGTAACTCAAGTCGTTTCAATGTTTCTGTTTTATAGATAATGAGAAGACTGGGAGTCGTGATATGATACCTATGGATGAACTTGGCCCAGGTAAATTCAGTCATAGATCAAACCCTCTGTCTGTTTCAATAGAGCACACTGTCACTCACGGGAAAGTTCAACTATTTCTCTAGGTGGTATTCTTTCAGATGGATAAAGCTGACATTTAAAAACAGAACATTACCTTACAAAAGATCGGTCGTCGTTTTTTTTCCTATCTTTTTTTCCCTATCAATATATGTAGAGTGTACACACCAATTTCTCCACTACTTTAAGCATATATTGGAGATACACTGACCTAGCCTTCATTTTAGTCTCTGGCCCTTGAGGCAGCTGCATTCCCTATTACAGATCTGGAAGTCTGAGGATTCAGAAGGAAAAAAAGAGTTGAAAATTTACTTCAGTGTAACGCTTGTGTTTAAATCCGTTCTGCTTTTGTTTTCTGTAGTTAACACCAAAAATAAGTTAGTATGGATGGTATTCCTGGCTCTACCTTTCATTTACCTGCATCTAGCCAGGCCTGGCTTTTCCTATAGACTGAGAACAGCCACCTACTGTCAATGCAGTGCTTTGAGATTGATCAGCTCTGTAGTTTAAGACTTGTAGAGGGTTTTTTTTCTTTACTGAGGTAGATAAAGGTGCTGTGTGGTCTCTTGGGAATTCGCTTTACTTCTTCCGGTTGATGTTATTTTTATTTAAATACCTATATTAATGCTTCCAGATCAAACAGTTTGATATACTGCTATTTGTGATTGTAGCTGAAAAAATAGCAAGTTAGAACCAAGCTGAAAGCCAAGCATGTTCAGAAGTTAAAATAAAAGTGTATATTACCTTTTGTATTCTTAGACAAATGAGATGCCACCTGCCATTAATCAACTGTCCATATGTATTTTGCCTAAGGGAACACTGAAACATTTGTTCTCACAACGGAAGAAAATAACTTCAGAGAAGATTGCCTGGCAGGATAGCTGTGTGCTAGCAGGTGCTGCAGTATGGGCAGTGCTGATTTTTTTATAGTCTCAATATTAATTGTCACCTTATGCTTTCAGGAGTTACTGGTACAGCTCTGAGTACAAAATGAAGTGCAAATTAACAGCATATGTACAACATCAGGCACATTGTCTGGGCTGTTCATCATTATTAGAAGATAAAAGCTGGCAAGTTTTCCTGACCCCAACTCTTGAGTGCTTTTTAACTCCAATATGACTATAACTTTGTGCTGTTTCAGAGGTCAGCTGAGAAGGGACTAAATTAATTTACCCAGTTTACTATCCTTAATTCCAAGGAACTGGAATAACAACTTAATACTTCACCTCTTTCCTTCAGGCTCTTCCAAATGCCATGTGTTTTTTGTCTTATGGGCGTACTTACGTGAGGAGCTGCTCTAGACTTTATTTTATGATTTTAACTTCATTGTGGACTGTTGTATTCTGGAGTTTTTGTTCTTTTTCCACTCTGGAGTGAACTGGCAGATATAAGGAGCAGAACATCAACATGCAGTCCTCTGGGTTTGTACCTCCAGTAAGCACAGTTTGGTTGTATCCCCACATACTCCACACCAGTCTATGTTGAGCCTCCAGGAGAGACTGTTCTCACTTAGGTTTGCAAAGAAAATGCATGACAGAGTACCAGAGAAAGTTGTTTGGCATGCCAGCTTATCTTTTTATTTCTTTTTATTGCAGAAAGCCCTGTGCCCTGGTTTCAGTCATGTGTTTTTCCCTTGCCTTCCTCTCTTTCTGACTTCACTTGCCCTAAGATCTTTCTACTTTATATTCGCTGTGTTTTAGAGAATTCTCATCTGCCTCCAGCTTTTTGTTGTTCATTTCATTTAATTCAGATGCTTTTATGTTGCATAATTATCTTTCTGGTGTACCGCTTTGGTACTGAACTGTAATTGCCTCCAACACATTACAGTGTGTCAGTGCAGAATTCAGTGGATTTCCATGCCACACGTATGTTAGAGGTACCCATCCGTTTAGCCAGGTCCTTCCAGCCCAGAGTGTTCATCCTGTTCCCCTGCAGTGTACAAGACTGCTTGTTCCAGAACACCACCGCCTGTCTGCCGCTCCTCGGTTGCCCCTTTTCATCAGGGTTCAGCTGTCTTGGTGCCTGGGCCTTTACTGTTAACCCATGTTGATTCTTTTTCAAGATTGCAAAAAGAAAATTGCAGTGGGTATCTCAACTTGTTTGCTAATGCTGTGGGGGTCATTCTTCTCTATAAAGGAAATCAATTTGCTATCACTGTGGCTAGGGAGGTAGAAAGAGACGTTCCCCGTCAGCTGGCAGTACTAGACCAGTCAGATTCCTGTTGTCTGGAGCAATGGGAGGGCCTGTGCAGAGCGTGGATGTCCTGAGAGATGGAAGAAAACATGTATTATGAGTTACCGTGGGATGCACTAGACAGCCCAGTGCAGAGATAGCTCAGGTCTGTCAGGCTTCATCAGCTCCAGACAAGTGGCTCTGCATCGAGTAATCTGAAGATCATCAATGCTTATTGTCACAGTGCTGCCTGAGGGTGGCTGTGACCCTGAGCTGTCTGTAGAAGCAGCAGAACTGTGATCTCAAGGCTGTATGCCGAATTTGTGAGTTCTCTAAAACTGTATCTGTGCCTCAGTTAACCTACAGTCAGTCAGACAAGAGCATCTGGGAGCTGGGAATTGTTCAGACCAGAGACACACAGTTCAGATGCCCCTGTCCTACATGCCCATCTTCAGGCATAACTTTTCCTTTCTCCTCCTCCTCCTTTTTGATGGGTCCAGAGGTTTGATCTTAGTAAGTTGAGAGCTGTGTGAGGGCACGGATAGACTGACACTCAGCAGACATTTGGTCCTGTAATTTGTGATGACATTAAGATGTTGCTGCAGAGTCAATGGGAGATAGTCAGTGAAGCAACACAGAAGACAACAAGCAGAAAGTTGAGAGAGAGGAATAAACAAGCTAAGAATGGGATGTGCTTCTATTGACCAATATAACTTTTGCCTATACATTCGATTGTATTAACTCAGAATAATGCACTTAAACCTTGGAGCAGTAAGATCTGTATAGGTCTCCTTTATGCCATAGAAACAGAGTTAATTCTGATCACTTTTTAGAACGAATCTGAAACATGGGAGAAGCAGTACTTTCTAATTTCTTTGGAGAGCTGTGGTCCTTGGGGAACTGAAGTATTACTTCTCTGATGCAGCCTCCTTCAAGATATTTCTCATTTTATTAGCTCAAATCATGAACTTCCTATCTCTGCTGCTGCTTATCTTGACAGAGTCATAGCACACTCTGTGGTTTTTAGAAACACATAAGCCATTAGCGCTGATGTGTGTGGCACCATTAGCATGCAGACCACACAACAGTGGGCTGACAGTATGAATTGCAAAATATGTTGAAACTTAGATATGAAGAACAAAGTTCTTGGCTGTTCTTTGTTGTTAGATTACTGCCTCTGTGCAAAAGCTTGATCTTCCTGTTGCTGCTGTCCTGGCTAAGCATGTTTTTTAATTTTTTAGTAGTATTAAAGATCTGTTGTGCTTCTAATTTTTTGTGATTACAGCCCTTACTTCTGACCTTGCTCCCTGGGAAGAATCACAGCTGCTATACTTCAGTTAGTAGCTGTTGCTTTCTGGGGGGAGGTTAAAGGTTTCCTTTGTATCTTTGGCAATTCATTTAAAAAATGTTTGTGGATCACCCGTGATGATGGCACTACAAAAATGCAAAGTGATCCGTTACATCATTGTGAGTATCATTAATACCAGATTGTAAAAAGCTACCGCTCAGTTGTTGTGAGTTTGATTTTTTGGGGGAGTCAGCATATTTCCGTCATTTAAATACATACCTATGTGAACTATTTACTCCTAAATAAATAATGAATTTTTAGAATATGACTTACTGGCAGTATTCATGCCTGTCATTTGAAAGAGAATTACTGGTCATGCGTTCCTCTACAAATGCTGGCTGGGTAGCTGGATGCAGCTGGTAGGCTTTAGGTTTTTTCTTTTTTGTTCGAAAGGAATAGCCAAGAATGTTAGGCATCTTCATTATCAACAAATAATTGTAAGTTAAGCTCTGTGTAAGAATTATTTTCATGCTTTAAGATCTGTGTACTACATGTGTAACTCCAAAATTCTTTAGTTATTTTTAGGTGGCATGGTTAAATAATCTGTCACTATCCACGATGTCATAAATATATGGTACTTCAGGTGCTTGTTGCAGGTCTGTGTGCACTTTGATCCATAAGATGCGTAGGAAAACTACAGCTCTTTTAAAACTCAACCTGGCTGTGGCCAGCATAAATGTCATTGAGGGCCCTGCCCTGTGACTGTTTGGTACAAGTCACTCTAGCTGCGTGTGCTTTTGTCATGTGGGCAAACAGTGCCTCTTTATGCCATGGGAACCCCACAAAAAACATGAGTTACTTTTTCTTAACCTGTTGCGGGCAAGTAATAAACCAAGAGAGGAGCATTTTGGTAGTTTATGTAAAGCCTTTTTGTGGTTCTAAGAACATGAAAACATTAATGATCCCTCAATTACATAGGGGAAAACAAAAGCCTACAGGGAGCTATAAATTTGAGTGTCATTTACTCCAGATTACAATACTGTCAAAGCAGAGCAGGAGAGGATCTATCTGTCACTGATAATGAGGGAAATCTGATGCATCAGGAAAATAAATTAAGATTTGCATTGGCTAACAATGATTCAAAGCAAAGGTTCTGAAATAATTAGAGCCATTTCTTTACAAAACCCTCTCACACTTTTCTTCCTTGTGTTCATCACGCTTTCATATTGTTTCTTAGTTGTCAGGAGAAAAAGCATCAACAGGTGCTACTTTGTAATGAAAGACAGTCCAAGCACAGCAGGGTTTGCATCAAGATTTCTTCCAACTCGACAGGTCCTTTTTTTCGGTGCTCTGAAAGGGACTCTTCCAAATTATTGTCATGTCCTGCTAGTAGTCAGGCTCAGGAAGAGTGGGAACATGCTGCAGAGCTTTCAGAGAATGAACACAGCCAATTAATCAGGCTGCTAAGCAAGGAACACAAGATTTCGGCTGAATTTGGAGCTCATTAGCCACAGGGCGCGAGATGACAACTTGCTGCTTTCCTTGGGCATACTAAGAACTGCAGCAGGCTGGGATGAAAACAGTGCTGCTTGCTAATGAGTGCCAGCATCTGGCAGCGATATAAAAAGAGGGCTTTTCTGTTTTGTTTTAAGCTGGTAAAAATGAAATTTCAGAGCTGGAGCACATGTGAAGAGCAGGATGCCAGCATCTTTGGGTTGTGATGGTTTATTTTCCTGTTTCTTTGCTGGAGAATTCTGCTAGCATCAGCTCTGTTTTTGCTCTTATTTGTGCTTCATGCCTGACTGTCGTGTTATTTCTCCTCAGATGGGTACTCCACCATCGATCACCGGGACAAGGAGCGCAAATACAAGACCAGTGATAACACAGGGGATGCCTCAGAGAAAGAACCTTTAAAAGTGAGCTTCCTCTTACTGCTGAATGCTAGTTAGTGCCTTTAAAAGAGAGGAAGCCTGGTGTCCTCAGCAAGAAATATAGGGTAGTTACTCACCAGGGGGCTGTAAAGGGCTTTTTTTTTTTTCTTTTTTTTAGATAAAGGCACCATTTTGTAACTTAGCACTAGGCTAACTAGAAATAAAAACAAAATGCTGCTTTCCAGTGCAGGAGCAAACGCAGGTAATCACTGTGTTCTTGTAAATGGATGAGGTTGTAAAAATAGGAAGTGTTTGTTCTGTCACCCTCGTCCAGGCAGCATTCCCTGGCCCTAAAGTGTATAAGTGTGCTCAGACTTTGTTCCGAGAATAGTCACTTCAGACTGTGACTGTCACACTGCTTTATTGTTTTCAGCATGAGAAGAAGGTGTGAGCTTGTCTGTCTGTGTACAGCAGTGTGGTGAACAGTATTCGTTTCCCCAACACTCGTTCACAGTCCTGACGGTGGACTATGGGCATGGGCCAAGGAGATGGAGAGGGAGGGAAAGATATGCATAGTTATGTGTGTGCCTTCTAAAAACACATTTAAACAACTTTATAATTTAAAAAAAAAAAAAAAAATCTTACTTCACAAAGCTCTTTGTATTGTGGGTTGTGTGCAAATGTGGCTTAGTAGGCTCTGTGTAATTTCTGTTGCATTGCTACGCCTTTTCAGCAGACCTTTTTAAAAGTCGCTTAATGCAGTGGCCGTCAGTTCTCCCTGGCCTCAAAACAAGCTTGTGTTTTTCCCTGGGGAAGTAATTTTGAGGAGGAAGGGGAGGAAGAGGAAGATTCAGTGAAACAAGAGTCATGGTAGGAAATACTGTTGTTAGTCTGCAGAAGGCTGTCCTTAATAACCTTCAGCACGTTGCTGATAATATCAGAAAATCCAGGTGATTCATGTTCAGTGGAAACAATTAAACTTCAGTCAACTGAAAGGAAGACACACTATTATTGAACAAGGGAAATAAAAATGTGATTTGGAGAAAAATATTTCCATAGATCACGAATTAGGAAGATGTCCTGCTGCATCAGTCTGCCTATATTAACTTGCCTGGTCATGCATTTCCTGCTGCGTCCTGCCTTTCCGTGAAGGTGTACCCTGGAGAACGGCTTCAATCCAGCTGGACGTTTTTTAAGCACGGATCACTCTCTTCAATTTGCCAGTTCTGGGTGTAGCTGCACCCTGCTGAAGGCTGCCCATTTGGACTTTTTGGTAGAGGTAGTTATGCTCCTTCATTTGCTTTTGGAACTGATAAAACTGAGCTGATCACTCAAGTCATGCAGTGTGCTCCCCTGCTCCAATGTGGCAAGAGACAGCCCTGCCTCGAAATAAACCTTCTAGTGCCAACGAAATAAACCTTCTAGTTCCCTCATCACTGTTCTAATATGTTTTGCAAGGATGCACTGGGAATGGATGCACTAAGTGACATAGGAATGTTGATCAATAGGAGCTTGACAGAAAATGTCTTTCTAAGGAAAATAGGCTAAGGCAGGAAAATTAACAAATACTTGTTATTTTTGCCACTCAAAATTCATTAAAGTGATACAACCCTCAAAATCACATCAAGCAGCCCAAACTCCAGTGTATGTCTGAAGTGAAGCACAACCCAGAGTTCAGTGAGTAGCTGCTTTGCTTTCATGAGAAAAGGAGAAAAAACATTTCACCTGGACAATGTGTCTCCCATAGTCTGTGCTGCCTCTTGCTTTTAAGGACAGAGGGTAACCTGAATTTAGCCTGTTGTACACATGAAAGGTATGCACTGCCGTGCCCTCAGTTGGGCAGAGCTGAGTAGCTGCTGCTCATCCTTCTCCCTGTGCTGTGAAACAGAAATATATCTGTGGGCTCTTCTGGCTTGTGAACTGTTTGATAACCATGGCTCTGAGGCTCAAGAGTGGCCGAGAACTGTGGATAACAATGGCAGGGAAGTGCAGCCTTTTGGCTGTTGCAGATGCTTTTGCCAGTATTGTGGCTTTGCTGATCTTTTCTCTTTCTCTACCACTAATTTTCCCTTGTGCTCCTTTAAGCTGACTTGTTTGGTGGTTTTGTTTGATTAATCTGCTCTGTTTTGCCTTTAACTCCTCACCCTGTGCTGCAGAATGACACAAATAGGAAAAACATTAACAGGAGTAACAGGGCTTCGGTGAATCTCGTGGATGCCCGTGACATTAAACCCCAGCCTGTTGACTCCTGGGTCTAATTTGCATGCATGGTAGGTCCTTTTAATGGTAATTGGTGCTAGTGATTAACTTGTCTCGTGCATGATCTGTATCGCTGTGGAATCTCTTCAAGGCTAACTGCTAACTGGGTCCTTTCAGACAAATGAAAATGCGTTGGAAAAAAAAGTGGTGTTTATATTAATCAGTGTATCTTTAATGAAACGCAATCAAACACCACTGTTTGATTAAAAAATAACCTGTCAAATAACCAGGCAGAAAATTAATATCATGAATGATTGGTTGTCAGCTGAAATGTGAAAGATTTCTGCTGTTAGGCCATGGGAATGAATTTGAATAGCGTGTTCCTGCTTCCAACCATTTTTTTCCCCTGCTCATTATAAGGATTAGCCTGAGACTTAAGGAAAAGCGTATCCTTGACTATTTATGGATGTCCTCCGAGGTTCCCATGAATTACACAGCCCTGCCCATCTGCAGGAAAGCTGCTGGCTGTACACAAGTTACTTTGCAAGGAGAGGTGATTTTGGTTACACAATAAACATTGACCCACAACTCCCACTTCTCAATTCCTTTGGGTTTTTTTTCCTGTTGCTAAAGACAGGTGCCTTTTTGTCGCTTTCTATTCTCTGCCTTTGCCACGTGTCAAGTTCCTCAGTAATGTTGCTGGCCTTTCTTCACTCCTGCTACTGCTAATCTGTCTCCTGCTGTCTTGCTAGACAGCCCTCTGTCCCGGTTATACCTTCTGGCACTCCATCAGATGTGATGCTACGTTTGGAACAGCAGGTTTTGTGCCCCTGGCTATGACTAAAGGAAAATCTTAGTGACTTTTGTGAAGGCTCTGGGCAACTTTCCCATCAGAGTGGACAATAGGCCTTTAAAGGCCCAAATTCCAAAACATGGAGCGTCATCCACCCCCATAATTGTGCATGGAAATCACTTGCATTAGTGGGAGAGAAAACTCCTGTATGTTTTTGGGTGGTGGTGTTGGATTTCCCGCCCTACCCCCCCTCCTTCTTCTTTTAAGAGTCTAGTATAAGTGCTAAGTGTTTACAGATTGTTTCTGTTCCTGGGCTGGAAGCACATGCCAGAGCAGTCTTTCAGCATTGCCAGGTGCTCTTATGTAGCCACGGAGCAGACTCTGGCACCGTTGGCTTCCCACAGCTGGTCAGGACTGCGTGGTCAGCCTTGTTGGCTGAGCCAAAGGGCAGAGATAAATGTGTGTGTGTGGTTGCCGGTACACTTCACTCCTGCACCCTTCCTCTGAGCAGTGAAGGCTTGCAGGTGGGGTATGGATTTTGAAAAATGAAGTCTGTGCTTGTTTTCTCCCTGTCATACCCTTCCAGGAACCCATATGTTGGGGAGAGTTGGCATTTCCAGTCACTGTCCTACCACTGGGTGATGGAGATCACCAAGGTCATGTTACTTGTTAATCAATTTTGACTTTATTTTGCAGGGCTAGAGTCCAACCACATTTTTTTTAATTGAGGGGGAAAAACAAACATTGAATCGACACAGAGGATCTCATCAGTCACCACTGCCATTCAGATTCGGAGGGCGCTGCATCACTGACCAGGCTGCAGGTTCTAGGAGGATGTGGGGAGAAAACACAACTGACTGCCATTGCCAACCCCGGAGCACCATGCCTTACAGCGAGACAATTTGGTTTTTAACTCAGTTACATTCCCACCAGAAATAGCCACCACCTCCCCCTCCCTCCCACTCCTGCAAGAAGAAAGAAAGAAAACAAGAAAAGAGAATCCAAGCTTCTATCTAGCTGGCTGCGTTCTTAGGTGACTCTTACGTGTGGATGGTGCCAAGTATGAGAAGCGAAGGTCATGCGGCAGCAAAGAAGACAGCTTCACAAGTGAAAGAGAAACTGCAGAATATTTGAAATAATATCGTAGGTGTAGCCATGAAGATAATAGCACTTTTCTGGTTTGGGGCTCATTGTTTTGTTTTTTGTTTTGGGGGATTTCTTTTGAACTGTGAATCTAACATTTTTAAAGGCTTTTTGAAAAATGTTTAGGTTTATTATTTCCACAGAAAGTGCAGGAATGTTGAGTGGGTTTACTGGATTTCAATGAAGGGAGAAAATGCAGAACAAAAACTATTAAACGCTGGTCAAATGAACTGGAGAGTGGATGACAGAGTTGATGCAAGCTGTATAATCTGCTTTTAGAGTAAGCTATATCAATCACAGTGCTATATTATCATTATAATCTGGTGTACAATACTTCTGCCTTTTGAATTCTGTAATGGCCGTTTTTATTTCCACACACTGAAGAGCAGTTTATTGAAGGTTTCAGTGTCCCTGGTTCAGAAATCTATGCTGAGAAATGGAGTTGGCTGGCTTTTTATTTTCTTGTTCTCGAAGATTGCAATAAGGAGCTTTTACATTTTAAAGGTACCAGTGTTGCATTGGTGATGATTTAACAATTTCTTTTGCCATAGCTGTTAACACATTGGAAGAAAATAAGAGCTTTTTTGTAGGATGTCTTATTTTGAACATGCTATAAATTTTAGATGCGTCTGTCACTCATTTTTGATGATAAATGTATCACTGTTGGATCCATGTTTGCTTTGGGCTGTAGATCCTGATGCACAATGCCACAAAGGGAACTGGTTTGGCATTTTTGAAATCATTATCATGATTTCTGCGTTCCTTTGGTTTTGTTTTGAGATTACATATTTCATTTGATGTGAAAATCACCCATGTGCAACGGTTCTCCTCTAAGATGCCAAGGCCTGCTTTGTGTAAGTACAAGAACGTACTCTGCATATATGGTATCTGGCAGTGCCGTGAACTAAGTGACTTCAGATCATGATTTCCTCCAGGCATTGGTCAAGGGAGGGCAGCAGGTGAGAATAGGAAGCAAATATCACACTGGCAGCATCGGAGGACTTATGCTGATCTTATTTGGTTGCCACTGTTCTTTGATTGCCACATTTAGTTTTAAACAAGCTCCTAAAAACGGTGTGACTGGAAAGCACATTTTTGAATCTAGCAAACATCATTTGCGGTTTTCAGTGCCTGCCGTTTCCTTTGTAATTAAAAAGGGGAAATATCCAACAACCTCACCTCCCCCAAAATATTACTGTAATAGTAAACATCTAAAATTTTTGTAAAAAAAATTTAAAAACTTTAAAAAAAAAAA